AAACGAATCCTAAAGTATGAATATTTTACTAAAAATTAAGCTAAAGTAACAAATTCAGAGATTAAAGAAAATAAGTTGGCAAATTACAGAGACAAATTCAATGTGAGAGAATATTCTAGAGCTATGGGTTAGCTAACAATCCCGTTAAGTTTTCCACTTAAATCATCTAATTAATTTATCTAGTTTATTGGTTGATAGGGTTAATATTGCTCGTAGCTTTCTCCCGAAGTACAACTCGTATATTCAAGCTAATCTAACGCCTATATTCCTATGGAATTAGAATTAACAAGAATGCATTAATAATTCCCGTATAACCAAGCAAGACGATTAGGTATATTCCTATCCTAATTGCAAATCCTCCACAGAGTTAAGATCTTGCTCTACTCAATCTTATATGCAATCTAGAATTCCCTCTCTCGAGTTCAATCCTAGATTTGTAGATAGTATTCAATTGGAGATCGAGCAATCAAATAATTAAGCGCAAGATTGAATAAATAAACCAATATGATAATATAATAAGAACAATTCAAGCTTCAAACTACAACGTTCAAGTAGCACCCAAAACTCTAGAACTAATGGACTATGATATTAAAGGAAGAGAAGATAAGAAAAACTAGTTAGAAGCCTCCTCCAAGCGTGGTGTGTTCTCCTTACGTCTAAAGTGTGTCCCTAGGTCTAAGATCTGTCAAAAGTCCTCAAAATAGCAGTTTTATATGTAATTATACCAAGTAGGGTCGGGCCCAGACGAAAACACCTTCTCCTACACAAAATAGGACACCGACTCTATAAAATTTGTACAAGCGCGTCGCACGCTGCGCTGCACTGTGCGGTGCACTAATGGAGATTATCACCAGCCTTGCATTTTTCTTGTCAAGCCAGTTTTTACACTGCTGTGCCGCACCCTGCGGCATCCCACACAGCGTGGTAGTGAGAATTTGCGAAAATGAAAAACATAGTTGTAGATTTTTCAAATAGCTTTTCAACGATATATTGTGGAGCCCAAACGGAGTTCTGAGCGAAAAGTTATGTGCATTTTACTAGCCAATGCGTCGTATGCCTGCTTGATTATTTGTTTCGTTCTTAACTATCATCCGTTGATCCCCGAACACGATCCTGGCATAATTACTTGGGCTTTTACTCAGACTTCGAATCTCCAAATCACTTGAATTCATTCCATAATGTCTACATATATCGGAATCACTCCTACAAGGCATAAAACACATATTTAGTGCAAAACACTAGCGATTAAAGCTCAAACTCAATTAAAGTGCAGTAAATTAGAGTGTAATAAGTGACTAAAATATGCAATTATAGCCAATCATCATGGATCGGGAATCTCCACCTCCACAGCCTTGCTCCATCGGCAGTCCTCCCTCACCTTGCTAATATCGGTCACAACGTTAATGTATCAGTACATGTGCTTACACCGGCCCGGCATAGATGAGGTAGTATCGACATCGAAATCCCTTGACGTGTCGAGATCAGGTGGGGTACGTTGTTCCAAAGTGGGAATCGATCAGATTTCTTCCTTAGGTGATCGGGACAACGATGCAATGTCATTCCGTCGGGGAACCATCCTAGAAGTCTTAGCCATGTCAATGGTAATAATCCTTCTATGAAAAGATGAAAGAGTGCCAAATACAAAATTCTGACTCGCGGGCTTGTAAGTGGGGTGAAAATGGGAAGTATCTAGCAACCAGTACATTTATAGGAATCGCTGGGGAAGCAGAAAGGACGAGTCGATGGCAGTTCATGGGTTTTCTCGATTACCGCATCTGACAGCGGCCTTGCACGGTTCTCTGGGGCATGACATTTAATGCTTTTAGATGGTTGATGTCATGGCAATGATAACCTCGAGATGATGATTCAATATCGTTTCCTATTACTTCACTCTAGGAAACGCGGAGACTATTTGTATGCGGTGAATCAGAGGGGTCTATTTCTCGCCGCTAAGGTGCATTCGGGGAGTCATATCAGCACCTCGAGGCTGCAGGATTACGATGAAGCTCCTTCCTTCGAGGTTCGTCGCGGCCCAGCAAATATTCCGAGGATGGGGAATTCATCCGCGACCCAACGAAGGTTCCAAGAACGGGGGATCCCCGAGGCGAGCAGCTAGAATTAGCAAACACTAGCACCGTGCCTAGCCGTCCCATCCCCGTGTCTTTGCATGTAATGCACTCTGTACTATATTATATCCCCCCCCCTATATAATGGGAACCCACACTACCTTTTAAAGGGCTGACGTTGCTCTAACTATTTCTCCACAAGATCAATAATCTCTCTCTCTCTCTCTCTCACTTCTTTCTAACTTGTTCGTCCTCTCTAGCTCGAGGCCACTTTAGCATTTATAGCTTTCTTACTTGTTCTTCATCTATTGCCTAATATTGGCCATAAAGAGCCTTGTTTAATCATATATTAACTGTTATCGCATTCCTGACCACCCCCGATAGCTCGAGATCGAGCCTAGATATCGACCCCGAAGTCCTTCATCGACCAGTCCTATACCCGGGCAGCAGGCCTCTCGGTTTGATTACTGCCTCGTTTTAGCTTGCATTTTCATCATTAAACTTTATATTCCTAGCATCATCTGCTCTAAAAACTAGCATAAAAATAGATCACATATTTTTAGAATCTCATTTACAAATTTAATTGTTGTTACCATTATCACGGAAAACAAAATCATAACCCTTTCTTGATTCTTTTAAATAAAATGAAGACAATTCAACTTGAAGCCTTTATATCATTGGAAATCCTCAACTTAATTCCTTTCGTTACAATTAGAATATATAATAAAATAATGGTGTCCACAAAGCATGGTGTAAACCTAAAACTACCCGGACATAACAGAACTAGTAGCTACGTACGGACTCTCGTCACTTCGTGCGTACGTAGCCCCCACAAATAATCACATATTAATTAAGTTTACCTATGTAGAAATTTCCCTCTTACAATGTTAGAAAAGAGACTTACCTTGCTTCCAAGCCTACTTCCAAACTCAAGAATGCGCTCAAACCCTCAAATCAGAGCCGAACAATGTGAAACTATTCAAATAGTGTAAAAATCTATCAATATAGGTTCACAAGTTCATATTCAAACTATTAAAGTGATTATCCAACCCCGAAGGCAAAATTTTTAAAATTCACCCTCGGGCCCCTGTGCCTGGATCTTGAAATTTTCGAAGAAAGTTGTTACCCATAACCTAAGGAACATAAATATATGATTATCACGAAGTTTCATGGCCAATTTCGTGGTACAACCCTAGATTTTTCATCTAACCCATGATTTCTACCAATTTTCATGTTGAAATCTACCCAAAATTTATGTATTGAACTCACAATAGGTAGGAATTACTTACCTCCAAAAACTAGGTGGAAATCCCTCTCAAAATGCTCCAATAATTGCCAAAAAAGTGAGATAAAATGAGTGAAAATGTCTTAAGTCCCGTATTAAATGAACCTCACTACCCCAGCGATATTCGCACATGCGGTCCCGCTTTTGCGGACATCGGTCCGCTTCTACGGAGTTAGGCTGGGACAGCTAGGGCCGCACCTGCGGGTGGGTACCCGCTTCTGTGGAAAAAGAGTCACATCTGTGGAACTTGAGCTCCTCTCCTTGGGCTGCATCTGCGAGCTCGCACCTGCGGCTGACCAACCGCAGGTGCGGTTATGACAGCAGCTGGATCTTCAGCTCTTGCTAAAATTTTCAACTTAGTCCAAGCCCGAACATACCAACATGTTTGGAATCATAAAACGGGCTCGCTAGAGCCCTCATAACACTTGAAACAACATTGAAACTAAGAATCACACCCTAAAACCAATTGAATCAAACTTATGCACTTCAAGTACTTCAATCAACTTCCAATGTGCCAAAACATACTTATACTACTCGGAATGATACAAAATTTTACGTGCAAGTCTTAAATGACATTACAGAACTATTCCTGGTCTATGAATTTCATTTGCACCTTGATATCACACAAACCCACTCCAAACCAAATTTAAAGAACTTCCAAAAACCTTCAACAACCAACTTTCACTATTAGGCGCCAAAACACTCACAGGTCATCCAAAAACCAATCCGGACATACACCCAAGTCAAAATTATCATACAAACCTATTGGAACTGTCAAATCCTAATTTAGAGGTCGTTTACTCAAAATATTGACCGAAGTCAAACTTTACCTTTTAAGTCAACCTTAAAGAACCAAGTGTTCCGATTTCAACCCAAACTCTTCCAAATCCCAAACCAACCATTCTCACAAGTCATAAATCAGTAAAAGCAAGTGTGGGAAGTCTTATTTAGGGAAATGGGGTTCAAGAATTAAAAATGACCAGCCGGGTCATTATAGTTATAGGTAGAATGTTGTTATAGAGAGGTAAAATATAACATAAAAAATTGATTCTGAGAAAAACTAGCATTTTATAGTGAATGGTTATTATATAGGGATGCTATTATAGAGTGGTCCGACTGTACTTCTTGGTAGATGTGGGTGGCAGAGATAATTTAAGGTGGTTGTACGTAGTGGCTCATGATGATTTTGGTTATGTGTGATGGTTGGTAGTGGTACCTGACAATAGAGGTGGTTGGTGTAAGTGATTGGTGGTGGCAGTTGGTCTAGTATAGCTTGTGGCAATGGCCAGAGGCGGAGCCAGGATTTGGAGCTTGTGGGTTTGGGATTCTAGTTAGTTTATGTTACTGGGTTCTAAATTAATATACATATTCAATGAATCTTTTAAGACAAATATAAGTTTTGGACCTAAGTTATTAGATTTGGCCGAACCCGCAAGTCCTATGCTAGCTCCACCCTTTGCAATGGCTTGTGGCAATAGTTTTGATGATAATGAACAAAGTTATAGTAAAAGATCACCTTTGTAGGATTTTAAAATTTTATACAAGATTTGAATGAACGAAAACTATTCAAAGCAATAATTGATTCTCATATCTAATAAGGTAGATTTAGCGCACACCTGGACGACATGTCTACCTTACACTTCAAGGGTAATATTGTCTTTCCATTTAATTTTTATTAGCTTCATTGGGATTATATCGACCACTTTGGAAAACCTGACAATCATCGCTTCTTTGGCTTATGCCTTCTTGCTTTTCTTGGCTTATCGATACCGGGAAGACAGCTCTTTGAGAAGCTTGACAGATGCAGGTTCTCTGTAATTAAAACCAGTCTAGCAATAGTTTAAAAGCTCCATTGTCTGGAAATTGCGGTATCCCAGTTCAACCTTTTCGCTCCTCGCAATTCCTGATCTTATCTTCGCACTTTGCCAATTTTTCTTTTTGGGTCATTGTTTCTTGTGAGTTTTCTTCTTCTTATCTTTTGTTTCTCTATTTATTCTTTCATGGCATGCTAAGGCTTTGTTGCACAGAAAGTTTAATGTGTCTATCACATTTGTTCTTTAAGTGTTCGAGACAATTCCTGAATGAATTAGACCCTTTTAAGATTTCTATTATTGTTTTAGGTTTAACTACACCTAACAAGAGCTTCCATTTCTAGTTCCTTTCGTGCACCCGACATCACTAAGCTAAAGAAATTATATCATTTTTTGATGACAAACAACTAAATGAACGTTGATGTGTTAAAGAACAAGAAAGAAAGAAAGAAAACAATAAATTGGGAACAATTTCTGATGGTAGGTGTGCTAATTTGTTGTGAGCTTTCTTATCATCTTCTGTTTCTCTGTTGCATCTTTTAGGGCATGCTAAGGCTTTGTGCACATGAAGTTTAATATGTCAGTCTCTTTTGTTCTTTATGTGCTTCAAAAAATTCTTGATTGAATCAGTCTTATCATTGGCGATAATTTTGATTTTGGATAAGCGGTAGGTAGTGACTCATTTTTTGGCTTGAATATTTCATGAAAATTTTGGGCTTAAAATATTTTTCAGATAAAAAGAAGTTGAACTTGTATAGCTGATGGATTCCAAATAACCAAACAAGTGATGTTACGCGGAAAAAAGAAAGGTTGCAATGCAACTTAAACGGCATAATACGCAAAGCCAAATATCTGCTCATAGAAGGGAAGCGATGTTGCTATCACGATATATGAGAAGACAAGATTCTAATAAGCACAACCTTCTTCAAAGACCAATTTTTGTTGTCTAGAGCAATCAAAATCATCTTGGGACAAAGTAGGATTTCTGAAACAAACTGCTCTTATTATACGAGAACCACCTTCACTTCCTGAAAAGGGTTATATTGTTGTACTCATATTTACACACTATATATTATTAAGGCAATGGTGCTTATGTATTTTTCTTGGAAACTTAGTATGATACCTTATTTATCTTATATGTTCCTATAAACTAAAATATCCAAATACTACGTGGTCTATTGCACTCTATTTTGCATCTATTGAGGGTCCATTGTACACTTTTAAACATCTTGGCTATTATTGTCACGACCCTAAAATGGAGCCAGTCGTGATGGCACCTATCGTGAAACTAGGCCAGCCGACACAAACTCCCAAACCAACTAAATAGTTATAATAAGTCATTTAAAGTCATTGATAAGCTATAAGTCCCAAATATAGAGTAGAATAGAACAGTGCGGAAACAAACACAGCCCGACATCGGGAAGTCACCAGTCATGAGCATCTACAATTCGTCTAAGAGTATGTAAAAATAACATAGTCCAATACAAAGCTAGTACAAAGTGAAATAAAGATAGGAAGGAGAAGCACTGGGCTGCAAACGCCAAGTAGCTGCCTAGCCAACTCCGAACAAGCCTGCTGGAAAGCAAATCAGCACTCGCTAGCGTGACCTGAGACTTTTAGATCTGCACACAGGGTGCAGGGAGTAATTTGAGCACGCCAACTAAGTAATAATAAAAGTAAAGGCAGCTAAGCGGTAAGAAAACATGTAAAACACAGTATAATGCTACGACAAACAGTATAAATCTAGAACAATGTTGTAGTACAGTAAAAGCTCGTAAAAAACACCTTAGTTCAATAAAAACCTCTTTAGAACATCTTTCAATAGTTCAAACGAGTGATGAAAATAGGGAGAAAAAAGATAAAAATATAAATCATCCCCTCAGGCAAAAATACCAACAAAACCAGCCCCTCGGGCTACCTCACAATCACTCGTATCATCCCCTCGGGCAATAACATGAAACAACAACAGCCCCTCGGGCAATATCGTATCTCACACTGGGTACCCGCGCTCACTGGGGGTGTGCATACTCCGAAGGGGCTCCTATAACCCAAGCGCTATATCAAGCCATCTCGTGGCATAATCAAACTGGCCCTCGGCCTCATAACAAGCCACCTCGTGCCATAACAAATCAGGCCCTTGGCCTCATAATCATGAATCAGTACAATACCAATGTGGCGCGTAGCTCGATCCCATAATATCCTCACAACACAGGCCCTCGGCCTCACTCGGTCAGAAAATCTCTTAAGCCACTCGGGCATAGTAAAACATGATGCTCAGCCCAAAATATCATTTAAAATGTCAAAACGAAGTAAATATGGCTGAGTTATGAAAACAGTAGAATACAGCATGACTGAGTACAAATATGAAGTCAAAATGGTGAGGAATAGTAGTAAAAAAAATCCCCTAAGGGTCCAAAACAGTTGGCACGAGGCCCAAATATGGCATTCACCCCAAAACATGATAATACTTTCCAAAACACAATGATGGCAAATAGTTTTCAATCAAATACGTAGTTTAATAGTCATACAGGACGGACTAAGTCACAATCCCCAATGGTGCACGACCGCACGCTCGTCATCTAGCATGTGCGTCACCTCAAAGTAGCACAATGATGTGAAATCCGGGATTTCATACCCTCAGGACAACATTTACAATCATTAATTATCTCTATTCGGTCCAAACTCTAGCTCGTGATGCCTTTGCCTCTCGAATCGGGCTCCGGATGTTCCAAATCTATCCAAAATAGATTTATACCATCAAAATATGCTAAGGGAATAAAACCCACTCAAAAATAACCAATTTACATAAAAAATCCCAAAACTGGCCAAACCCGACCCCCGGGCCCACGTCTCGGATTCCGATAAAAATCACAAAACTAGAACCCTTACACTCTCACGGGTTCAAACATTTTAAATACATCAAAATCCGACCACAAATTACCCCTCTAATCCTCAAATCAAAATCTCAAGTTCCAGGCCCTATTCTCCCCAATTTTAGGCTTTAAGTCCATAAATCTTACCTCCAAGTGTTTCCCTTTGATTCTCTCTTCAATCCTTCACAAAAATCTCCAAAAATGCTCAACAATGGTGAAATTTGGACCCAAAATCGCGGAAGTGGTCTTTTAAATATTCTGCCCAACACTTGAAATCCCTTCTTTGCCAACGCGGTCAACGCCTCGCGTTTGCGAAGCACAAAATTCTGTTGACCACTTAATACTTCATCGTGAACGTGACACCCTGTACGCGAACGTGAAGCTTCACCTCCAAAACCCATTGCGAACGCGACACCTAGCTCGCAAACACAAAGCACAATTGCACCTGGACCCAGCTACTCACCTTTACTCTATGCGAATGCGGCAAAACCATCGCGGACACGATGAACACTGACCTCAACTCTTCGCGAATGCGGGACCCCCATCGCAAATGTGAAGTCCAAACTTCCTGCCTCACATCCTAACCCTTCGTGAACGTGAGAGCCCACTCGGGAATGCGAAGACCAAATATCTGCAACACCAACAACAGATTTCCAACAACTTTTCCAACTTGAACTTGATCCGTTCAACCACCCAAAACTCACCCAAGGCCCTCGGGACCTCATCCAAACATTCCATCATATCCAATAACCTCATTCAAACTTGTTCCACCCTTTGGAACGTTCAAAACAACATCAAAACACCAAATTGACATCGGATTCAAGCCCAAGAATTCCAAAAACTTTTAAATTCTACTTTCCATCAAAAAGTCTATCAAACCTCGTCCGAATGGCCTGAAATTTTTCGTACAAGTTAAAAATGATATAACGGACCCACTCCAACTTCCGAAATTCCATTCCGACCCCTATATCAAAATCTTACCTATCAACCGGAAAACGCCAAAATTCCAATTTCGCCAATTCAAGCCTAAATCTACTTCGGACCTCCAAAACCCATTCCTATCACGCTCCTAAGTTCCAAATCACCTCCCGAATATGTCCGAACCATTGAAATTCACATCTGAGCCCTTTGTCACATAAGTCAACATCCGGTCGACTTTTCCAACTTAGGTTTACTCAAAAGAGACGAAGTGTCTCAAACCTTACCAAAACCTCTCCCAACCCAAACCAACCAACCTGATAATACATAATACAACTGAACAAGGCAATAAGAAGCAGAAATGGGAAAACGGAGCAGTAACTCATGAAACGATCGGCCGGGTCGGTACAATTGTGTTTACAAGCTGCTAGCTATCAAGCCTGTATGACTACATCATTTGCTAATTTAGTCAAAGGAAATGGTATATTGGACCTCCATATCATTCGTGAAACGGGTAAACCTATATTTAGATTATACTCTTTTCAAAATGAAATATTGTTTATACATTACTGTAAATTCTGACTATTTGTATATTAGGATCCCTATCGGGTACATCTAACCTGCATCATGTCACCTTGAACACCGTTCCAATCAAATGTTTGCAAAAACTTAATGTTACAGTAATGTCCACCATACGTATGCCTTGGTTCTCCTTTTTTCCTAATGATACTTCTTACATATTCAGCTCATAGACAGGCCAAAAAGGTCTGCTTGGTCACTAAAGAGCAACAAAGTGAGTATGTTGCTTAAAAAGGGTCCTAACTGTCAATTCTATCATGCAAAGAAGTTTGAATATGAACTTCCAGGATTTTGCTGTGATAGTGGTTCAATGAGGTTGACATCTCATAAAATACCAACTGAATTATTGCAGTTATACTTTGGAAATACTGAAGAATCTGAAAATTTTCGAACTTATATTAGAACGTACAATAACATGTTTGCATTTACTTCACTTGGTGTCAAGTGTGATAAAGAGCTAGCGAGAAGAAATTGTGGTATCTACACATTTAGACTCCAGGGACAGATGTATCATTTTATAGAGGATTTAGTTCCTTCCAATGAAAAACCTAGGAATTTACAGTTCTACTTCTACGATCATTATAATGAACTATCTAATAGGATGGCTTGTTCGACAAGAACTAACGAATCAATAGTGAAAAAGTTGATGGACATATTGAAAGAAAATCCATATAATATTTTCCTAATATCTCTCTTAAATGTTCCCAAATTATCTAATTTATATATTGCTCTTAAATGTCACTCAACCTTAAATCAACAAACATATAACTTACCAGTGCATTAGAGATTGCAGCATTATGGCTTGAAGAAAATCCTAGAGACACATATGCACCACATATTCTAATTTATACCCATAGTAATAGAGCTCGGTTAGTACATTATTATTATGGATGTTACGATCCATTGCAGTATCCATTATTATTTTCCTTCGGTGAAAATGGATGGCATTGTGGAATCAAAAAAATTATTCAGACAAAAAATGTGATGAAAAGTAGAGCTTTATGTGAACATGAACAATTCCCCAGTGTATCAAATATATGTCCAGTTGATGGATTTCTTGATATGGAATATGAACCACTACAAAAAGGAAAACAAAAAAGAGATACAGTATCTTGTCGAGAGTATTATTTTTACAAATTTCAACTAAGAGATAATGGAAAAAATGTAGTTCTATACTGTGGGAGAATATTTCAAGAAATTATAGTAGATGTATATATAAACCTTGAAATGCAAATATTAAACTTCTTCTCATTTAATCTAGATTTATTTAGAATTGAGGTCTTGCAAGGACTCCTTGATGTTTTAAGATGTGGTGAAAGGGAAGCCTTTAAAATTGTAAAGAAAATATTCATTCCTGTTACATTTATAGGGGGGCCAAGGGACATGCGCCGATGATACATGGATGCTATCGCATTAGTACAATATTTTCGAAAACCTGATTTCTTTATAACAATGACATGTAATCCTGCTTGGGCAGGAAAAAAAAGAACATTTATCACTGGCTGATGAGGTACAAGGTAGAAGAATTAAAGACTGATACATTAAAAAGAAAAATCTTTGGAAGAGTTGCAACATTCATGTATACTATAGAATTCCAAAAATGTGGTCTTCCACATGCTCGTTTTCTTATTATAATTGCTGATTAACACAAATTATTAACTCCTAAATCCTATGATAAATTTATCTGTGCAGAATTTCCTAATTCCAAAAAAGATCCCGATCTATATTCACTTGTTATTAAACATATGATGCATGGTCCTTGTGGCATATTAAATCCTACAAATATTTGCATGAAA